GTGGGTGCCAATACGCAGCCCTGTTTAACACCGCTGCGCACACCAAAATGCTCCGACATAGCTCCCTCGAAGGAGATTGTTGCTTGCATGTCGTCGTGTAAAGATCTTATTAGCTTGAGCAACGTTGGAGGGCAACCCAGCTTTTGCAGTACAGCAAACATGCCCTCCCGACTGACCATGTCGAAAGCTTTAGTGAGGTCGACAAAAGCCATATGGAGTGGCCTGTTTTGTTCTCTGCATTTCTCCTGTATTTGTCTCACAGAAAATATCATGTCAGCGGTTGATCGGCCGCTTCGGAAACCGCATTGTGACTCTGGGTATATGCGGTCAGCAATTTTCTGGAGCCTTGGCAACAATACTCTTGCAAAGGTCTTTCCAGTGACGCTCATAAGTGATATCCCACGATAATTGTTGCAATCACCTTTGTCGCCTTTTTGCTTGTAGAGTGTGACGATGGTGGCATTTTTCATGTCGGCAGGGAAAGCAGCATCATGCCAACATTTGCAAAGTAGCTCATACAAGTGAGGCAGCAGTGAGGCATCACATTTCAACAGGTCAGCAGGGATACCGTCGGCACCTGGGGACTTCCCAGATGGTGTGTGCGACAGAGCGATTACTAGTTCTTCTATAGTAGGGATCTGGTCGAGTTCCATCATCACGTCCAAGTTGGGTGTGGCTTCAAGAGCAGCAGCACTGATGCCCCTTGGCTCTCCATAGAGTTCAGAGTAGTGCTCGACCCAGCGTACCAACTGCATGGCAGGGTCAACTATAAGAGTACCATCCTTGGACTTCAATGGACATATCCTTTTTGTTGTTGGCCCGATCGCTTTGCGGAGGCACTGATATAGCTTGCGTTGGTTTCCCATATCAGCTGCAGTTTGTATCTCATCACACAGAGTGTTCCAGAACTGGTTTGCACAGGCTCTCGATGTTCTTTGGAGTTCGCTCTGAGCTGCGCGTAGTGCCCTGTGTGAAGCGCGGGTAGGCCTGTTATTGTGCACTCTGTGTGCTTCTGACTTTGCTTCCAGTAATGGATCTAGAGTTATAGCAAATTCAGCCATCCAGTCTTCTTTGGGTGGCCTACTTTTGCCAAATGATTCTAGAGCTGCTTCCATCATGGAAGTGCGCAATGTTTTCCATTTTTTGCTTGAGGTCTCGTTCTCGGTATCATTGCTGGCTGACTCGGACATCTTGATCGTGAAATTTTTTTGAAAATTGAAGATGTTTTCAGCAAGTTTCATGTTGGCAATATTGAGTTGCAGTCTGATTTTTGTTCTGCGAACACGCTTGCACTTTGGTAGTTTGAGATGAGTCACTACTAAAGTGTGGTCTGTATCGCCATCAGCAGAGTGGTAAGATCTGGAGGATTTGACTAGGCCAATGTCTTTTTTGCGGATGATTGCGAGGTCGAGTTGGTGCCAGTGTTTGGATCTCGGATGTCTCCACGTGACGCGACGTCGGAGCTTCTGTTTGAACCAGATGTTCGTGATGCAGAGCTGTTGCTGACTACACAATTCGAGGACTCTTTGGCCGTTCTCATTGATCTTCCCTACACCGTAATGGCCAATAGTGTCTGGCCACGTGGCGTGATCAGAGCCGACTCGAGCATTGAAGTCGCCCAGCAGGACAAGGCACTCATTTCGTGGAAATTTGTCCAACACATCAGCTAGTCTGTTGTAGAATTGGTCTTTGACAATGTCTTCGCTAGGTAGGGTAGGAGCATAGATACAAATGATATGGACTGGGATGCTGCTTCTCCTCAATGTGAGGGTCATGATCCTCTCGGACACGCCGATTGGAGTGTCGCAATCTTTGATTAGCTGGTTTGAGACCGCAAAGCCTACTTCAAGAATCCTAGGCTCTTCCTCAGCCTTACCTCTCCAGAAGAAGGTGTAGTTTTTTTCTCTGATTGAGCCTGACTCTGCTATTCTCGTTCCTTGGAGAGCGGTAATATCCACTGCAAGGTTGTGCAGTTCATGGTCGATAAAAGCAGTCTTGCGCGCTGCTCCTTTCACGTCTAAATTACAGTTGGGGTCCATTGTGAACCCAGGGCAGAGTGTGCGAATGTTCCAACTTCCAAGTCGGAGTGTTGTGGATTTCATATCAGTAGGTGTGTCATTAACGTTCACTTTTGCGCCGATCACCTCCTCGACGCATAGAACGTGACGGATCAGCACCTTATTGGCCAGGGGCTGCCTGGCTGAGGCGGGCGGTAGCTGATCAGTGGAGCTAAATTGCTCCTCCCACCGACACAGAGGACCCGTGGCGCAACACTTTACGTCAATTCGGTGAATGCTTAAAACCCGTGACTGTCCTCTGCCGCGTTGATGTGTGATGCTCTGACACACCACATGAAGTGACCTCTCCATTTTGCACGAGCACGGGCAAAAGAAGGCTCCTGAGTTGCCCAAGAAGCAGGAGGCATACTTGACCCCAGATGATGAACTCCAAGGAGAGACAGGGTCAATACGTTGGCACCACCAGGGGCTGCAGGGGATGG